TCGTTATGCGAAAAGTTCGTTATGTGAAACATAACAATACATGTTAAAAAAAATAATTCGTTCTGTAGCATAAAATATGGTAAGATGACATAAAACTTGCTCCTGGAACGAATTAAGTTCGTTGTGTGAGGCACCACTGTATATATAAATAAATATATATATAAATAAATAAATATCCATTGCGCGTGCGTGTGCTGTATAGTTCTTTTTCATTTTTGAAAAAGAACATTGGCAAAGAGATCCCCCGTGGATGGCAGCACTTCATAGTACTTGATAGCAACTTCATCTTGTTTGCTTGTTTGCACCTAGCGAGCAATTAATTAACCAGCAACTGACGGTCCCCTGGTGTCCGGCCCAAACAGAACTAACCAGCCACCAGCACAGAACATGACATATCAGGACATTATGACGTTCAGTACTAAAACAGAGTAGCAGTAATTTTTTTTCCGATGTCCTTTTAGTATTATTCTATTTTGTCCTTCTTTTGTTTTGTCCTGTTCTCTTGTATAACGTTCTGTTTTTTTCATGTCCTGCAATGTCATGTGCTCTGTTTGATTAATATCTGTTAGGTGTACCAACCAACTACTACTTTATTGATACAAAACCCTAACCCTGATATTATGACCTGTCCCAATTAGGAATATTAAGCTTCACACATTTATGGAAAAGTATAGATTATTTAAATAAACTGTTTATTATTATGAAATAATAACTAATGTTAAATTAGGTCCAAAGTTTTGTACAATTGAGACACAAATAAGTTAAATTAAGGAATTTGTTAAAAACGGGATATAGTGTATATACAAATCAATAGTTATTATGTAACTGTTTAGTTTTACTGATTTTTTATATAGTACTTTTATTGAACATACAATTTATAATATACAGAAAAATAAATAAAAGTACGCCGTCGTCTTCATTTCTTGGAGAGAACTCTACACAACTCATTCCATCAAACATCACAAATTTGTCAATTAAAACATTTGCAACATAATTAAAATCTAAATTACAACTCTGATCTCATAATCAATTTATTATACACATCTTATATATAAATATACAAATATACAAAATAGTTTTAGGACTGTGGTGGCAGCAAATCTTTATATTATTTTTATAATCATTATTATTTAATCAATTTTTGTTTAAATTTATTTATAGAAGCTAAATTCAGAACTTTCATATATATTTCTTTTAGATTTCATTCATATTTATTAGTGTTTAGAAAAATATATTAAATTCTACTAAGGTTGGGTAGTGTTTATAGTTGAAGTATATTTTTCGGGGTAAAAGAAAATTGACTTCAGCCAGAATTGAAACGTGAAACGAAACGGACGGAACAAAATGTTTATTATGCTCGTATTCTTGTGTATTCTTATTATTTGTTTTGGTTCATCTGTAAACACACCCATTAATTGAGGATTATTAAACGCTACTTTCACCTTTTGAGAGGAACGTGACCGCAGGATAGACGTACTTTTTCCTGCGCACGAAGTTCGGCGAGGTACGTTCACTGTTTGCACTTAAACCTGCTAATAAAGGAAGCGCTTCTGTCCTTGAGAAAAACTCTTCACTGCTGTTTCTCCTCTTCGTGGAGAGTATTGTCTTTGGAATGTAGTCAGCTTTCGGTGCGATCGGTGTCTCCTTAACTTTAGCACTTTTGTATCTAGATGGCATGAAGTTCCACTTGCGTTTCCGAGGGCTGTTCATACTTTCTTCGATTTTGATCACCTGCGGATTGAACGTGACATTTTTGACATCCGAGGGAGTCCTGCAGATGCTGCCGGAATCTACGCTGCTCGCTTTTGCGTCCGGATCGTTTATTTGGCTGTATGTTACGGATCTGTGCTCTGAATCAAGGTTCAAATCTATGGCAAAATTGGATATTATATCTGGATCATTGACCGGAGTGCACGGGGATTGAAGATTTGATTTGATCGCAGGAAGCATGCTCTCATCGAAGTGTGTTTCGAGAAGGGTGCTTTTGGAATTGAAGTAATCGGCGCATCCGGCTGTCCGCATGACGCTATCCAAAATATCTTCAACCGATTGGAAGTCGTCGCTCTTCGTGTCTTTGGTCTCATCGTTGGAGCAGCAATTTGCAGATTCGAAGCTCAAATTGCTGCTGGAATTCGTGGTGCTGCCGTTCTGCGAAGGCCTCCTCAGATGTTTGGACAGTTGCCCCAGTTTCTGGTAATACCTCACGTTCTTGATGTCATCCGCTGCTGTACTTAAATTGTTATTAATCTTTGGTGTTCTCCGCATAACCTTCGGCGTCTTCAGCTCGTAGGATCCGCCTAAGATTTGTATCTTATCCAAATTGGTGGTGAAGCTGGCCCTCGAGCTGATGCTCGACAGCTCCGAAAGACTCTCCGGACTCGCCAGTGGAGCCAATCCGAACCAATCGTCGTGAATTAGATCGATCTTCGTCATCGCATCCGAAGGCGACCTCCTCAGATTCAAACTAAGCGATTTCAGAGGACGGTCGATCTGGACGTGAACCTGAATGTCCTGGTGGCTTCTCGTCTTCTTTCCCAGGAAGTTGATGGTGATGGGACTCGGCGTGGGTTCGCTTCTTGTAGAATAAAAGCCGTTGGTGATTGAGGAAGCGTTGCTCGGACTTTGTAGAGATGTAAAAGAAGTCTCGAGGTGTACTCGATGTGGCGGACTGGAGAGGATTTCGTAGTCGTTCCAGTTTCGGGAAGGCCCAACTGTCGGTATGCGTTGGGGCTTCCTCGGACCCAAAGTTGTTATAACCTAATTAAAAATATTCAATTTAAAATTAATCCTTCGATCTGCAAAAACAATTTGCCTCGAACAGCAATGATTCAATCACTTACCTCCACTTGGATCGCGTCAATACGCACATTAAATGCAACTAATCGTTCTAAATGAATCAAATGAAATAACAATAATAATAATAATCAAATGAAAATTTAAAAAAGACAAACGAATAAAACAAGACAACTGTATGTGAGGGTGGGAAAAAAATAATAAGTAAAATAAATGAAGAAAAAAATCTAATGTGACACATCCACCGAACATGGCAAACACCAAAATATGATTGATGGTACGAAGAATGTAGCGTGCATTTACTCATAGTTTCTTAATGTATCAAATGCGGACATCGAGAGTGAACGAGAGAGCTTCAAGAACGTAACAGAACAAGCTTTAATATATAGATATAAAAGAAAAATATAATATATAATTAAAAATAGTTTGGGGTGATGGTGTACCTTATATCTCGAGGTGGTGGCTTATGCTCAAAGGGTGAACCCGGGGGATGATGTTCCCTACCGATTGCCTTCTCCACCTAGGCAAGATAACCAATGAGACCCCACGAAATCAAAACAAAATAATAATAAAGACAAAACAAACAAACAAAAAAAGTTTATTTTCTTTTGTTGTTGTAGTTTTTTTTTCTTCTTGTACATGACAATAAAAGGAATAGTATCATCACGTTTTTCGGTGTGCGTGAGAGTGTGGGTGTACGTGTGGATACGTGTATAAGTGATCCCCGAGTTTAAGTCTCAGAGGTAGCCATACGAAACAATTGAAAGAAAAGAAAAAAACAAAATATATATATATACATACATAAATATAAAACAATTGAACATTTTTTTTATTAAATAAATAAAAGCCAAATAAATATGTAAACTTATGGTAAGGGTGCTACAAATAAAAAAAGAACAAAAAATTAAATAAAAATAGTAAACAAAATATTTAAAAAAAAATACAAAATTATAAACATCATCGACACATTTAAAAGCTATTTAACAATTAATCTCACTAAATTCAGTCATGCTTCACTTGTGTACTTATTGAATAATCATCTAAGTGCTATATAATAATAATAGATTTCGTATTTCATGCCTACTACAAAAAATAAATTAAAAAATAATAAGCCTTCAAATATTACTCTACTCGCTCCGATATTGTACTTAGCAAGCACTGCGACGAGTTGTTCCTACTTCGTACCTTGTTCAGCGCGTCCAATACTTTGTCGGGCATATGATCCTGGATCATTACCGGAGAGATGAGCACCTCATCGAAGTCGGTGTTCTGGGCCCACAAGGCCTGATAAACGGGTTCGTTCTTCGTCAGCGCCTGCCTAGAAAAGCAGAAAGAAAAAAACAAACAAAAAACATATGAGTTAAGATTTCAATTTCAACGACCCCATGCAACAGGTTCAAAACATCGATAAACTCATTCTCTAAGTATATAAGTGTGGCAATAATAATAATAACAGTTGTTGTAATAATAATAATAGTAAGGGGGAATAATCAACATGCGAGGTATCACAAAAGTATAACAACCCAAAAAAATGTTATTTACCTCCACCCTTTCTCATACTTTTGTCTGAAACCAAATAGCATCTAGTTGATTTTAACTGAGCACAAGAGATTTTGTTTGTTTTTTTTTTGTTGTTTCTATTTTCAGATACTTACTCTCCTCTGGTCGGGTGATGCCTGACCACGTGAATTATCCTTCCAGGCGGATAGAGAGGTTGATGAGAGGTCAGAGCTATTGAACTGTCCACCGGGTGTACTCCTCTGCATCGAGCTTTGTCCTTGGCCTTCATGTATTCTGTTACGGTGGTGTCTCCGGTGGACATCTCAACTGCGGACGTTGGTTCTGGGGCACAGCCGCAGCACAGAACGCTGCACGTTATCGTTTTCCACTGAAACAAGAATTGAGAAATTAGTAATTTATAGTTGCACTGTTTCGTTACCAATTACCTTTGGATCTACACTCCTTTGGATGGCGTTAATTAGGTCCGCCCTCAAAGCCTCCATCTGGTGTAAACCTATCCTAGGCACCACGTCCTTCCCCATGACAACCGAAATTGTGAAAGATTTGGTGTATTCTACAGCTGGCATACTAGAAAACAAATAGTTGTATCAAAAATAAAGAAATTAATTATCAATAAAAAAAATTACTACAGTATTTTCAATATGACAAAGCTTAATAGCTGATATAGAGTCTATATAATATCTGACATATTTGTTTCTAGTAGCACATTTTGACGCAAGGTGATAGCTGTCATTTCCTGATCCATTAAACATTTAATGCGGCAAAATTTTGGGTTGCTACCAATAGGTTGATTAACACTGATATAGATAACATACACAACAACATTTTCAGTTAATACTAATTGTTGAGACTGGATGTTCTTTTGTAACTTTCACAATTCATTTTCATGATGTTAAGACAACAAATATTTTTTTGTTATTGAAGGTGGATTGAACAATAACTGCATAAATGAGTTATAATTTCATTTCTTATTTGCTAATTGATTAAAAATATACCACCTTTTAATTATAATTTATTTTCTACACCAAATGGTAGCAATTAAAAAATATATTTTTGATATATTTTTTTTAATTGAAGTAAATTCAAAGTATTAAATATATCAACACGAAGGAAAGAAAGTTTGTAGAGGCTAAAATGAATGATTATAGAAGAGACAGCATTGTCTCATGAATATAATATAAGAGACAGAACTAGTTTAATTCAGATGTGCGAGTTGCAACGAGGAGATATAAATATTTAAGAAGTCTGTAAGTCTATCTCTTGAAATTGCGAATAGTTGATTTCACCGAATCGATAGTTTTATCTCATATCTTAACTATTCAAGTTATTTAAATTCATTAAAAGCTCCCTTCATTTTATTAAAACTGGGTATATTATAAATTCATTCATCCACACGCAATAATCGATACTTATTATGGTTGTGCTAACAATGAGTTTTTGACTAGAGGACTTCTGGTTTTTGATTTTTTGTTTTTTAAGAGAAGCAGCGTTAAGCGGAGTATTACTGTATTACTTCTATAACCTAGCTTTCCTAACAAGCGTCATATACGTAGACTAATTGTACTTGAAAAGTTAATCATCATTGATTTAAAATGTATTTACAATGTAAAGCCGATTATTTACAACGTTATATTTGACATATACAAAGTAGAAAAGATCTTTTCAAGTCAATCATTTTTTTTTGTTTACATCTTTTCCAATAATGTAAAGAAAATATAAATACAAGTAGAATATATTATACAAGTAGTTGTCATGGTAGTCAAGGAGATGATATATAAGATAAGTTATTTGACAAGCAACGACGTATACCTTAATAATCCTCCTGGTGGTGAATAGCAATACGATAATAAATCCGGATGTTCTTGTTTTAACAGAATACCAAGAATGCAAGCAGTACCGGCGCCGAGAGAGTGCCCAACGCAGACTATTTGAAAGTCCATGGTCCCTTGTTCAGGAGCGAAGTGAAAAGCTCGATCCAACAAGTTCTCCGCCTTGAGTTTTTCGAAAATATACTGAGCTGCTTGCACCATCCCCTTGTGACCTACCCATTCCTCCTGAGTAGGAGTAACGGGAAGCGTCTCGCCCTCAGCATTCAAATCGGTTAGTATATCCTAGAAAATTGAATGAGATAATAGAAGAATCTCCGGAGACTTCCAAAATAGTTAAGTTTACCTGCATGCTCAACGTTCCTCGAATACTGATAACGATTTTCCTTCGGTCGTAATCCAAGGCAACGAAAAACGGCGTCTCCCCAACGTCCACGTGGTACGTGGCGTAGATGATCTCGATATTGCCGATTTCCGAGAGCTTCTGCAGCGCAGCGAAGTTGCACTTGCAGCAGTTGTCGTCAACGATTTCCGCGCTGTAGCTCTTTTGGCACGGGAAGCAGCAGCACCTGAGGTTCGTGCATATTTGGCATACACCCATATTCTGGGTCATAATGTATATGGGCCATCCGTAAGCGCGGACGGCGAAATGGGCGTAATGGATGACCGTCTGGAAGAGCTCGAGATCCTGACCCTCGTGCAGCGAGAGAAATTGAGTGCGCGGGGTGACCGCCACTCCTGAAAGAAATTCGTAGGTATCGTTCTTGCGCTACAATAAAACAAAATTACACCGATTAGATTCTATAATTACATTGGTGTAATTCAAGTAAATACTTGTTCGACGATGGCTTTCCGTTCAATTTTCTGGAACTTCCTTAGGAGCACCAAACCGGCGACGACGTCGGACGGTACCACGTCCAAATCCCTGAAGAAGTCAGAGAGTAATCGAGCTATGTCTGCAAAGCTGTTGCGATTCCTATCAGATGGTCGCATGCAGCAGAAGAGGAATCTGCAGCGCTGCTGCCAACGATCCTGGTACGCTCTGAGAACCTTTCGTTGCCTCCAATTCCTCGTGCTTCCCGATCGTTTGTATTGGAACTTAGATTCCGATTGCCTCATCGATCTCTGATATTTCTTCATCTTCACCCACGACCTACCAGCGGCATCGTACACACACCACACGGTGACAATTATTGAAACTAATATGCACCAGTTGCAGACAATCAAACCTGCAAATTAATGTACAATTAGCATTGATTGTTTCAGTAATTACTTCAACACAATAATTACCTAGGACGGCTTGCTTAGCCTTATCGATTGGACAATCCGGATAAAAGTTCGTCAACCAAACGACGCCCGCAATGAGCCATCCGGTCTCCACGACCAAAAGCCCTGAAATTATCAAAAGAAAAGAAAATAAAAAATGCAACTCAATCCGAGCCATCAACAAACGACTTTTTTCTAATTCCCTTTACGACTACATTTGATCATTGATTTCTACTAGAATATAGGAAATGAGAAAAAGTTCAACTTACCAACTCGAATATACAAAATGTATTGCATCGACGCCCTGGGACCTGTGTCCAATATACTTCCGCGCAAGGCCACGACGGCAATAGCCAACTCGTTGATCATTGCGAGGCCGAGTAGGACCAAATAACCGATGATGAATTCCCACAGGAGACGGATGCATTGCTGCGATAGATCGAAGTGGATGACGCCGAGGAGGACTCCCAAAACTACGGCCCTGCAAATCGTTAAAAACAGGCGACAAACATTAACCTTGGACGAAAATTGGAGTTCGTCGGAGATTTTGCGAACATAATAAATTCGCTTCCTTTTTTTTTTTTTTCAAAATTTAGGTCAACCGTGACATAAAAAATAATAATAAAAGCAGAACGAAAATAATAATAAGAACAAGATAGCAATGAACGAGCATCCGGCCGCTAGGGTGGATTTATGCGGAATGGAATCCGAGGGTTGTGACCTCATTTTCCCCGAAAAGGTTAAAGTTCGAGCGAGCGCTCGCATATCGAGAAAAAGGAGTGAACACACACAATATGCGAATCCAATTTCGCGGTTTCAATTAAAACTGAACTACATGCATGTGTAACTGTTTGCGGTTATTAATTAGTATATAGTTCGGTATTTTACACAATGTATGCTAGTGGAATTTGACAAAGTATAAAATAATGCTAAATAATAATAATAATAATCTTTATTGCAACAATAAAATAGAAAATCAAATATTTATATACAATAATAATAATAAAATTATTAAGGATTTTTTACGATATACACATTAATTCAAAGACTGTAACATTTGTTATAATAACATCAGATATTTTTTGTACTTTCAATAAATGCACACATTAAGTAATTGTCAATATAGATTTGCAATATTTTTCATGTTTTTACGCTTTATTTAATCATTCGAAATCCACTAATACTAATTTTGTATTACATTTTAAGAAGGGTACACTTCTTACCATGGAGCGCTTAGTTTTCGGTTCAAACTTATATAATTCATCACCTGTTACAATTTTCCTGAACGTGCTAGATGGAACCCACCAAGCAGAATTCTACCATTTCCTGTGTCATTCTTGGATCTTCAACAATTTTAGCCTTCAACAGACCTACTTTTGTATTGTCGGTCGAAGATTTCTGAAGATCTTCACAAGATCCGTCCTCCACAGAAAAATGTTCCGTTTGGAATCTTTTAAACTACTTGGAAATAGTCACAAGTGATGATACATTCACTCTATGTCTAAACGAATTTCTTGATGTGTTGGCTTAAATCACTAATATTGCCTTTACTCGTATCCAATCTTACCGATTTTCTTGAAATTTTATATGAAATATGATTAGATTTGAACAAATTGACATACATTTGTTTTTTTTTTTCAGAATTAGCTAACATTTATTAGACCCCTCATATTTCGTTCATCATATTGTGATGATGATGATATAATTTTCTTTTTGTCAAACAAATTTCAGTCATTATACAAAATGCGTATCAGTTATAGTGTTAGATATTTTACAGAATGCCTACACATTCAATTTCCTTCCTGTGACATAAAACGACTAATTGTTCTAGATAATTATAATATGTATCTAAACTTTAGTTTATATTCTAAATTAAATTAAAAAAAATTAAAAAAAAAAAAAAACAAGAATAACTTGATTATGCGGTGGTTGTAATGTGTGTTGGCTCAGAGAGTATGTGAGGAGAGTGTCGAGGGCACTCGAAGTTCCTTGAATATGCCTATAATCGCAGCCCTTTCGCGCCTCCCGCACAATGCGCTCCGCTTCATTGAACATATGTAGTGTAATATGGTAATTAATTACCGCTGTTTAGTCTCCCCGTGAACGTGTTTGTGCTCTAATTAAACGGGACAATTATAGTTCGCTCCGCTTTGAATATTACCGCTGCATGTATATGTTATTTTCAAACCGGATGATCATTACATCATGAAATGATCAATTAAAAAAACCATAATGTGGAACTGATGGAAAACGATGATCAAATAATGCAGGAAGTACGCAAATTATAAGAATTATTTTGCATATTTGTAATTGTACTATAGATTAATTAGCAGATAATTTTAGAAATCTATTCATTATTTTTGTGTAATAATTATTTGATGTTAGGAAGTATACATTTTATATAGATAATATACGTGGTGTCTAACAAAAGTACGCTAAGTTGACATTTGTTTCTGAAAAAACAAAAGTTGTTTCTCAATTTGTTATAGTCTAACGATATTTCATGTCAAATTTCAATAAGATCGGTAAGAATGGATAGGAGAAAATGCAAGATTAGTGATGTAAGGCAAATTGAAGTAGAGTCTTCAGTTCCAATGAAGACACAATAATGTAAAAGTTGAAAAGCTCCAAAAAAACGATTTTGAGGAATGTTTTAAAAGGTGGCTTTATTGACTTAAGAAATGTATTGAAATAAATAGAAATTTAGTAGAGAAATTACAAAAGAATGAAAATTAAAATTGTTATTATTTTGTTTTTTTTCAGCCAACTTAGCGAAATTTTGTTCGACCACACGTATATTAATATAAACAATAATTATTCATTGATAAAAGCAGTCTCCATTTATTGTAAATTAATTCTCTAAAATTATAACAATCAATCAATAAACAATAATATTAAATTTTTCATTATTTTTGTTGCTGACTGTAGCAACTTTTATAATTTAATGTTAACTATCATAAAGTATGCGAACATTTTGATAGATTTTCACACTGAGTTCAATAATTAAAAACATTACTTTGAAAGTGGCCTAAGTTCACTTCATAATTGATAATGTGCGGATCTTCATATTTCCGAAGGCAGTGGTTATAATTAATATTACCGAAAAAGTAATAACTTTATTCTAAATGAAATGTAACAAGAGAATTTCATATCAATAATATTTTTTAGACAGCAGTTTGTAAAAGGAGTTCTAACGAAGAAACAACACATTGATGGCAAATATGCAGAATATAGTTCATATAAAATTTTCAAAGAGTTGAATGGACTATATTTAATGACACCATTTTGTAAAAATATAAGACGAAAAATGCAAAGACATGATGGACTTACGATATATACAACAATGACTTCTTCAAAATGTAGATGAGCAATATTTATTATGTAATTTATATAGTTAGAAGATTTTCTGAATTGTTTAAATTGTGTTTTTTTTTTCACTTCAAAAGAAAGAAATATAAAATGTTTTTCTCAATTTCAAGCATATTAAGCTATATGAAATGGACTTGAGCTTTTTCAAATTTCATTATAATTCTCATTGTTAATGATAAAAGTGGCTTATGTCCAATTCACAATTATTTTCTCTAAATTAATGCATTATTTGATTTATTCAAATATATTTGTATTAAAATTAATAGAAAAAAAATAAATATTCAAATAAAAATCAACCTTCTCTCATTATTTCAATGAAACAAATCAGCTTTTTCTCTTTATTATTGCATTTAACACTGATTGCTTAACAATAACACTTCTTCTGGTAAGAATTTCATAAGTTATAGAAGTTTAGGATTTTTTTTTGTATATAGAATTTTATATTTATCAATATATTTTTTTCTAATAGAAATGTGAAAAAATCAAGAAAAAATAATCAGTAAATAGTTAAAATGGATGCATACGGAAAGAATGTAGTTGATGCGAGCAGTTTAAATCGTTGTAAACTATGAGTGTTTTGCTCATAAAGTGATAAATATCCGGAATTTAAGATTATCTTTTATTATCTGTAAAACACTTCCTACTAAAACTTCCTTACTTTTATAGTCGTTCCTAGACGAAAAGCATTAATACATAGATACAAATTGTTTATTGCAGCTCTAGATTTATCTGTTTCCACATTACAAATATAGCCAAAATACAAATGTTGACCCAACAGGAGTGGAAAAACTACATTTTAAATAAAACACATTTTTTTTGTTGAGAAAATATCAAAATTTTGATTTAATCGCAAATTAGACATATTATGTATAAAACAACACATCTGATACACAACGAAGAAAGTTCGTCAATTGGTTCATTGAACAACAATAAGTGAACGGTGAGTTTTCCAAGAAAATTATCTTCAACGATGAGGACCATTTTCATGTTGATGGCAAGCAAAATTGTCGCATTTAGAGTTGGACTGATGATAAACCCATATGAGTTGAGAAGAAGAAAATACATACTCAACGTATCACTGTTTTTTGTGGATTTGCAATTGTGCCACCAATGCCGAAGAGGGCATTTATTAGATGTGTTATTTCATACCTAATTCCCAAATGTCTACTTTACGATTAAATCTAATTTTCGGCATTATCTCAAAAAAAAAGTGCATTTTATAAACATTTAATTATATTAACGTCCATTTTATTAGTTATTGAATCTCAATGATAAATCCGGTTGTTTATAACGCTTTGGGTTGTTAAGTTGTTGTCAATAAGATTGACAGATGATACTTTTGGATGTCTTTCTAGACAATTTTGGCTACTGCAATAGAAATGGAATTAGTGGAGAACACTTTCTTCGTGCTTCACGAAACTTAAAAATACATCCTCCCATAATTTATATTCGTCTAAAAACTTTTTCAGATGGTTTTATTATGTCGACTAAAAATTAGACGTTCTTGTAGTTAATGAAATGTTTTATACCCGACTAAGTGGAAATCGAAAATTGCATTCTCTAGTGTCAATTCACGTGTCACGTAGTGGTGTAGTGCAGATCTTTATTGCTGAAATCATCAACTCTAAACTTAGCGAATTACTTTTGTTTTAGCTAAATCAACTTTTCAGTAAACAAAATATATCTTGATTAAAACAATAACCAAGAAATTTTTTGCTTACCAGTAATAGAAAAGTACCATGTTTACAGCAATATCCAAATTGGTGATTTCTTTATTGCATATGACGATCTTCAGCTAATTCATTAATAACATCTTAAACACCTTTGGTAAAATTGGAAGTAGTATATGGTGTAATACCTCACTCAATAAGTTCGTAGGAATACATATAGATCGCGCTTCTATCGCGCTTCCTATATCATTTTTAGGAAGTACCAACCTTCAGACGACGCATGTCAAAATTTCATGGCAATCTGACGTTTAGTTTACAAGGTTATAGTGGTTTTAGTGGCGCTACTTTTGTAACTTTCAGAATAATGGCAAAATCTGGATTCCGTGTGTTGATAAAACATTTATTTTTGATGGGAAAAAATACCGTTTAAGCAAAGTAATAGCTCCATAAGTGTTGTTGGGACTATTCTCTGTTGAGACAAATGGTCGAGAAGTGGTTTGCTGATTTTAAACGTCGTCGTACAGACACAAAT